TGACCTGAGCCGAAGTCAGACACGTAACCGACTGAGCCACCCAGATGCCCCGATCTGGTCCAATTTTAAGCAACCATAACAAGTATCGTGAGTATACAAAAGTACTGCAGAAAGGTGGACTGCACCACAAAATTAAGATTGCTTTTAAATATGTAAGTCTGAATAAAATAGTATCAAAAACTTAATATTCCTCCCTAAAACTGCCCCCCCTCCAAAAATGAGTTGTTTGCTGTATCAAGCTAACAAACTTGCCTAGATTCATTTCTGGGCAATTCCTTATCTCAGTGATATCATCCATTTGGTTGTTTTCCAGGTTAGAAAAAGCAACTTTTTTCCAATAAAAATGTGATTTAAAACAGTGCCTTTGGGCTCAGCCCAGCTCCGCCATTTATTAAGTAACACTGGGCAGGCTTCCTAATGTCTCCACATCTACATTTCCTTATTTATAAAATAGGGTTGCTTTCTGCTTCTCAGGTTTGTGGTAAGAATTAAAAGTAGCAATCTTTGTGAACCACTTAGCATGGAGCCCAACAACAAAAAACCTGACAGGCAGCCAGGCTGCCATAAATAGGAGTGATCATTATTCCTGTATTCTAAGACATTCCGATATCTAGCTCTGCAGAGAAAAGTAACCACAGAACCTTCGTTGAGGTAGTATGTGCAAACCAACATAAGTGCTTTAAACACATGCTGCAGATCAGGAGGCATGGCCACAGGGAAGAAGGAGGAGATAAGACTACCGGATGCTAGAAATGGCTCCATTTGGAAAGGTCATATTGGGGGGTAGGGTGCAGAGGGGGGGTGTGAGAATGTGTAAGGGTGGAAAACATAAATTGGATGCATTTTAGGAACATCAGACAGACAGAGTTCCCCAATCTCTCTTCTACCTATCCTCGATTCCTGAGATTAAACCATTCTTTAAGGTTAAGGCTAGGTATTCTTAAATGAAGATCATCCTAGAAAAGCTGACACGTGAAGCTATTTGTCTCTGAGTCCAAGTTTCAAATTGTCTTTTGGGGAGGCTCTGAAGGGTGACATATGAAGGCCCAGGGCACATAGGAATGGGGTGGAGGCCCAAGCAAGGAGAAGACAAAGTGAGAACTGGGCCTCCAGTTGGACTGGACCCACTTGGATTTGGGGTGCATGTGTTCTATCCTAGCAGAAGTGGCTCAGGATTTATATCACTGCACAATAGTTGATAACGCACTTTGCACACGTTAATGGCTGACAGTTGGGCCATGTCTCCATCAATTACACATTTTGACTTTTCTTCTGGGAGGCAGATGCAATCTGACAATCTCCTCCAACACTGATTGTGCTATGGGGCTAAATTCAGGCTTCACCTGATTCAGTGCTGCCTATGACCCCCACTCCTTATACATGGAACTTTCCAAAGTTACTCCTAACCAGCCTTAAGCTACATGTGTGGGCAGTGGAGAGGGGACCAGAGATGTTTTTACGTTGGGATCAGCTTCAGCCCTACATCCATACAAGCATATCTCTTAATGAAATACCAATAGCAGTTAACATTCACCCATTCATTCCTCATACAAGTATCTATTGAGTACCTGGAATTTATATTCCAGGAGATGAATCAATTAAAGTCAAATCTAGGGTGCCCAGTGGCATTCCTGCCGAGGCAAAGAATAAAGCCAGGGAAGGGTACAACAAAGAACGTCAGCAGGGAGGAGGGTGGCTGGCTCTTAGAGGTGGGAGGCAGAGGCCCCGCCCAGTGAGGATAAGAACAGTAGGAGGTCAGGGCAGAGACGTGGCAGACCCAGGGCCCAGAGGGCATGGGTGCCATAGGACTTTGGCTTTTGCTCTGAGACAGATGAGAAGCCATGGGAGTTTTGCACCAAGGACTCACATGATCTGATTTGCATTTTTAAAAGGATCCTCTGGTGGATGTGTTGAGAAAAGAGTGTAGGAGGTCAAGGGCAGGTATGGAAAGAGCTGGTTAGGAGTTTGTAACAATAATCTAGAAGACAGGCAACAGTGGCAGCAGAGGGGGTGGCAAAACGGTTTAGATTCTAGATCTTACTCTGGCAGTAAAGCTGACAGTGATAGACTGGATGTGAGAGAGGTTGAGGATGACTCCAAAGTTTGGGCCTAAGTGAATGGATGGGTAAAAATGCTTTTTAGAGATGAGAAAGGGTCAACGAACAGGTGTGTATATACAAGGGGAAATGGACTGGGGAGGGGGTGGAGGAATTAACAATTTGCTTTAGGATATATCAAATTCCAGAAGTCTAACAGAAATCTAAATGATGATGTCAAGTACACAGAGCTCAGAGACATTAAGAAACATGCCCCAAGTCCCAGAGCCAGTAAGTGGGAGAGCTTTGGGCCCAGGTCTGTGGACCTCCAGGTCTGGACTGGGCAAAGAATGGGAAAGACAAGGGCTTTACAACCAGAGATGGTCAGTAACTACGTCAACAATCATCATTAAGCTTAAATAATAAACCTTCTGGCAATTCAGTCAGGGAAACTTGTAGAAAAGTTGTTCCCCAAATGCAGAGTACACTCTATACGAGGAATACTGAGTGCCCTACTACTGTCACCTGTAACATTTAACAGGCCCACATTGCTGCATTCTGAAGTTTTAGTTTTTATTTTATTTTTTAATTTATTTATTTATTCTAGAGAGAGAGAGAGTGTGTGCACGTGCTCATGCGAGTGTATGCAGGGGAGGGTCAGAGAGAGAGGGAGAGAGAAAATCCCAAGCAGGCTCCATGCTGTCAGCACAGAGCCCAACGTGGGGCTCAAACTCACAAACCATGAGATCATGACCTGAGCTGTAATCAAGAGTCAGATGTTTAATCCACTGAGCCACCCAGGCACCCCAACTTTCTGAAGTTTTAAAAGAACAAAACAAAATTCAATTCCACCCTCTCCCTGTTGAACCTCTGAATGCAGTTGGATGGAGATTAGAAAGGTCCTCAGACAAAAAGGCCTCCAGGAAATAGCTCCTTGTGGTTACACCAGGGAGCTTGTCCTTTGAAGTCTCTCCCCACAGTTGTGCTTAGATAAGATGTTTTTCTACCCGAGACAATGAATCATTCCTCAGAGAGGTGCTATTGGAAAAGAGAGAAACAAACAACCACATACCTGTATGTATGGGGGGGGGGGGGTGTCAGTGTTAGCTTGTTTTAAACTCTGTTTCTTACCTGGATCTGCATCAGAAGAGCAAGGACTAGAAAGGGCTTCTACAGAACTAAAAGCCTCACTGTCGGCCTCTTGGTGGGGTCTCTGCAGCACATAATCTCTTATGTCATAAACTGTTGGCAAATCCAAGGCACTGCTCTCCTCGGACTGGCTGCCTGGAGTGGCTTCCTGGGTCGCCATAGTCCTGCTGTGGAGAAAATAATTCAATACAAGAGGCATTGCCTAAGAGGAGGCCCCCATTTCAGTCACAGCTTGAAGGACTAAAGTCCCAGCGCCTTAAAGGCCAAACAACACTTTGGCCGAAATACTTTCCCATTAGTAACAGTCTTCCTTGTGCTTACTTTAGACCCAGTATTTGTTTACCATGTTTCTTCATCATGAGAAACAAATACTCTCGACACAGAAAGATTAACAATTTCAGCTGGAGAATAAACCGCATGTCTGATAAGGATGAAGCACTCTGCAACACGATAATCCAAGGACTACAAGAATATGTAATGAGAAGAGAGACTGTCTGTGATACATTATGTGGAAAAAAGATTTTTAAACAATAGGTAGGGTTTGATCCAGACTTTATAAAATGCAGAATCATGTGTGGGGTGTGTGTGTGTGTGTGTGTGTGTGTGTGTAAGTGAGAAATACACATATCTATAGCTAGACAAAAAGCATCTGGAAGGATAAATCCCAAATAAACTTCAATGGTAATTAATTCAGTGGTTTAATTGCTGACTAGTGAGATTACGGGTGACTTGTATTTTTATCTGTGGCTTAATCAAACATGCATTCAGCCAATGATTTAACACGCCAGGCCCTGGGTATACAAAGGTGAATGTAATAGACCCTTCCTTCAAGTTGCTCACAGTTTGGGATGATGCAGACGCACCAACATACCATGTAAACACAACGACAAGACAGAGAAGAACCCAGAAAGCAACAGTAAGTTTTCTGGAGAAGGTCATCTCCAAGCATGGGACAGGCCAGGCCAATGCCTGGGGGACAGCGCAAATGCAAGTAGAACCAGCTTGGGCAACCACAAGTGCCATGGGGTGCTGGGAGTTTAAAGTGAGAGTCAAAGAACAATCGCACATGGGTAACTGGGGAGAGACAAACCTTGTGGTTTCAGCTGGATGGCCGTGGGGCTCTTCTGTTCCCAGCTCTGGGAAGGACAGCGAGGCTTGGCTGTTGATAGCCACTTGGATGCACAAACGCTCCGGCTGAGCTTTCGAGACCACAAAGGTGCTTTATTGGGTTCATCACTTGGACATTTCTTGTTACATTGGTGTTCCAAAAAAAAAATAAAATAAAATAAAATAAAATAAAATTAGGTGTTCCTCATCCTCCCTCCCCAGGTAGACCCCGATCTACTTGTGGGTACTAGATTCTCTGTTGGAAGGTTCTTTACAGTGCATTCAGCTCTGCCCACCTCTCTATAAAATAACTACGGGCCTGGGGAGAGCCTAAACCCTCTGCAACTCTCTGCCTCATAAATTTCTGTAATCAATAAATCATATCGTAGCCAACACCACGCGTCATGACTGCCGTGGGCCGCCATGTGCCATGCAGAGGAGTTTACACGGTCAGATCTGCAGATTTGGCAGCTGGATGGGAGATGACTTTATAGGGCTTCAGCCCAGTGGCCAGCAATCTTAGAAGCAACAGGAATTCATTCAGCTGCCATGGTCCTGGTGAGAGACAAGGAGCATGTGAACTAGGGTAGGGTAATCAAGAGCAGGGGGCAGATTAAGAACATATGTAGGAACTAAAATGAGAGTAGAACTTCATCACTGAACAGGCAAAGGGGCTAAAGAGAAAGAGAGTCAATGAGGAATGGCAGCTTTAATGACTGGGTTACTTTATCTAACTGCGTTAGAGAAGGAATAGTTTTCGGAGCGGGTGGTATTCCAAATTATGGAATACTGTACAGCTGTTAAGATGACAGTTGGAACCTGAAAGATCTCAAAGACATATGTTTGAATGAAACAAGCAATTTCAGAATAACAGGAACAGTATAATAATAAGGGTAGATAACATTTATCCAGTGCTTGTTGGGTGCCAAGCACTGTGCGAAGAGCTTCATCTGCAATAGCCCCATGAAGCAGGCAATCTTACCACGACCCTCATTTACAATCAGACAGTCAGACACAGAGAGAAGTCGAGTAACTTGCCCAAAGAAACTTCATCTAGAAAATGCCAATCTGGAATGAACCCACCTCCCAGACCTCCCAGCCTCCTGTGTCTGCACAGCCCAAAGGACCACCCTATCAGGCAAAGATAGGGTGTGTATAAAAACAAATCAACAGAGAGGCCTGGCAAGATTCCTCGTTTGAGGACAACGGTCGCATGCTGTTGTGGACATTCGCCCATGCAGAGAGTGAGCCAAGAGAGCAAGCAGCTGATTGCTTCTGAAAGAAGCAGAGGGATCAAGGTTCCCAAAGAAGCAAGAACATCCTGTCTCTTCACACATATTACATTAGCCAACCAAGCCTGAAGTTTCATCAAACACCTCCGCCACAGGCATCTGTGTCTCTTCCTTCTCCCCTCGTGTTAACAAACACTGCTCTGGAGGCTTCTGGAAGGGAAAAAATAGTTCCGTGAAGGACAGCAGTACATCCTGCCTGCCTGAAAAGGAGCCTTGACATTGACCATCAAGCAAGAGTGTCACTAGTGATACAAGCAGTCTGTCTTTTCTTTTAGAAATCACTGGTATTAAATGTCAAATATATTCCAAACTGGGCATTTGAACAAAAAAAAAAAAAAAAAAAAAAAAAAAAAAAAAAGGAAGAAAGGAAGGAAAGAAGGAAGGAAGAAAGAAAAAAGAAAGTCTACTGAATGGCAGAATCTGGTTTATTCCAAAGTAAGAAACTGTACATGCAAAACATTCTTTGGAATTCTGAAGTTGCCCAGGAGAAAGCAAGTAATAGGTACAGATGAGACCCTTCCTATGGCCTGTAACCACCTAAGCTGACAAGTACGATGCAATGATTATCTCTGCCCTAAAACTTTTAACACAGGGTTCCACTTTCTTCTCCAGAAGAGCTTATTTTCCTCTCTTAAAAGTACTTGGGGTACCTGGCTGGCTCAGTCAAGAGAGCATGCGGCTCTTGATCTCAGGGTTGTGAGTTTGAGCCCCACATTGTGTGTAGAGATTGCTTAAAAGGATCTTTCAAAAAAAAAAAAAAAAGTGCCGAGGCACCTGGGTGGCTCAGTCTGTTAAGGCCTCCAACTCTTGGTTTCGGCTCAGGTCATGATCTCATGGTTTCATGGGTTCAAGCCCACATCGGGCTCTGCACTGGCAGTGTGGAGCCTGCTTTGGATTCTCGCTCTCCTTTTCTCTGTGCCCTTTCCCTACTTGCCGTGTCTCTGTCTCTCTCAAAATAAATAAATAAAACTTAAAAAAACAAAAAAGGCTTTAATTATACAATCTAAGTGTTGTTTTCCAATACCATAGGGGCACAGGCACAAGATGTCTCTCGGTACATCAAAACCTGCTTACCGAGAGAAGACAGCCATTCTCCCATGACTACAGATTCTTACCAACCTATAAATCCAAGTCAGTCAGGGTCCTCAGATAAAAAGCTGTTTAGCTTCATCTCTTTTTTCAGCCAAAGGTCTTCCCTCCCTTCATGTTTTTACAGTGAAAAGTTTCAAACATAAAGAAAACTGGAAAGAATTATCTGATGAACATTCCTATAGCTACCGTCTAGATTTCACAATTAACATCATACTATGATTTTCTTTATCATAAAACTATCCACCTGTCCAAGTCTTTTTTTTTTTTTTTTTTTTTTTTTTTTTTTTTTTTTTTTTTTTTTTTTTTTTTTTAATTTTTTTTTTTAAATTTTTTTTTTTCAACGTTTATTTATTTTTGGGACAGAGAGAGACAGAGCATGAACGGGGGAGGGGCAGAGAGAGAGGGAGACACAGAATCGGAAACAGGCTCCAGGCTCTGAGCCATCAGCCCAGAGCCCGACGCGGGGCTCGAACCCACGGACCGCGAGATCGTGACCTGGCTGAAGTCGGACGCTTAACCGACTGCGCCACCCAGGCGCCCCTGTCCAAGTCTTTATTCATCTTTAATTCTTCTTTTTTTACATATTTCCAGTGACCTGTAATGAAAGGTTCTGAGTTAGTGCCCGGTACAATCAATTTGCATTTCCAAATGCTCACACTGTTAGCTAAGTGAAGCGTGAGTCAGAAGAGGATCAAAGTGGAGCAAGGAGCACAGCTGGGAAGCTCTGCAGAGCAGTCCAGAGATACGCAGGGTCTCTGAAGTTAGAGACTCACTTTTTAGCTGTGTCACCTTGGGCAAGTCACTAACGTCTGTTTCCTCTATCGATAAAAATGGCTTGATGCCTGTGCTTACCTCATAGGGTTGTCATAGGAATTATATGAAATTAATGGATGGAAAATACTCAGTAGAGAATGCATGCTCAATAATATCTAGATCCGATAAGTCAAGTAGTAATAATTAGAAAACAATTTACAGGCTTCCATCTTCCCAGTCTACCTCCTATCCATTTGCCCTTCTATTTCCCATTCAGTAGCCATCTTATTTCTTTCATTCTTATCCAGTGTATTTTATAGTCCATTATCTTGTCAGTACCCTAAACTTCCCTTCCCGAACCATTGTGTTCTTTTATCACACCCGTTTGGCAAAACCCTCGCCTAGATGAACTCAGTTTATCTCCCCCCTCTGCAGGGCTAGACATGAGTCACTGAATAGAGCAAGCTGGCTCACTCTAACTGAATAAACATCAACTAGAAATGGGCTGTTTGGCCACATGAATCTTGAGATGTTTATCTCATTACTTCCTCTTCCCCTCTCCTTGACTCTTGTGCTTTCTCCTGTCTTCTTCAAGAAGCTCAGACGCTTCCCATCTGTCACACGCCTTCCTGCTCTTTTCAGTAGATCTGCTCACTTCCTAACTGACAAAGGAAACAGAATCCAGCAGAGAGGAACTTCCTCCACCACCCGTCAAGCAGAACAAAGTCTCCGACGTCTGCACACTGCTTCACTCCTCTTCACAACACAGAGCTGTCCCTCCTGTGGCAAAGTCCAACCCTCCACCTGCACCTTAAATCCTGCTCTCTAGACCCTTCAACAAGCCCTCAGTGACAACAACCCCTTCTCTCACTTCTCTCCCACTGGATCTTCACTTAGATTTTTCAATATGCCCAAA